CTATTTTAGAACACTTGATTATCTAATCAAAATAACAAAATATGGGTCACACACCGGGGAAAAGCGCAGCGTCGTGTCTAATACAAACTCAAGTCGCAGGTTATCACACACACCCGATGCGTCGCGTTCATTTCAAGCGGCGGTCTAAAACAGTTTATTTAATCACCAAATGGACAAAAGTTCACTTCAAGAATGAACAATGTGGCATAGATGAGTTTGCAGTTTGGTGTTTAAAAAAAACAGAGGCCTATAGCCCAATAAATGAAGCATACTTTATTAGAGCCACAGAAAGACAAACGTTTTGCTGAAAAATGCACAATACACAATGTTACAGCCTAGGGTGAAGTTATTATGCACATTAATAACTATTTGGGACGAATATAATGTAATTTAATGGAAAACTATGTGAATGGCGCTCTGTTCCGCGGCAGGATTTTCTGTCGGCTGTATTTAAATAGCATTTGAAGCCTCACGTGCCAAAACAAACAACACGTGCTGTCAGTGATTTCGTCTCTAGAGGCCGCTCTCGCACTGTATAATGGAAGCGGACCATTCTCAGCCGCTCCAGCAACAGATGCAATGGGAAAAAAACGGAAACCGGGAAAAACTATCAACATGGATTTTTGCCGATAACGATAGTTCCAGCAATCAACTATCGGTGCCGATTAATCGGCAAAACCGATACATCGGTCGACCTCTAGAATTAAGGTAGAAAAATTTAAAGCAATACATATCAAGATGGAGTAAGCAAAAGGCTTAATGAACAGATGTTTACATTAAGCATTGCATATACTTCATATACTGTATAAAACCTATTACGTATTTACATTATACATTTTTTATTGCCTAATGTCCAGGTTGCATAAACATCTTAAGGATATCGATCTATTAAAAATTTTTGAATGTGCACTCTGGTGTCCTGATACATTTATTTTAAGCATTTATTTTGATATTTTTATTTTAAGCACACCATTATTTTTTTTAAATCTGACAAAATGTGTTTTTGTACTTTTTTTTTTTTTTTATCATTTTCTTGTTGCACATTGGATTCATCAGGCTTTTAACAAACACAAAATCTAACAAAAAAGTTTTTTTAATCAATAAAAGTTCAATTTTTATCTATTTAAATATAAAAGCCATATTACTGCCATTGACATTGTAATAAACAGTGTATAAAGAGGCGGATATTTTTAATAAATGACATTAAAGAAAGCCTTGTATCAAATATGAAAAATGAAAAAATATATATATTATAACAACACATTTTATGTTGTTATTCCGCCTGCCTTTATTCTTGACCACTGAACGTGTGCCACCTGATGAAAAAGGTGTGTGTGTTCCTCACCTTGACCAGATCTTTGGGCCATCCGGTTCCTAAGACGCTGCGGCTACCGTAACCCATGGTGTTTCCTCCATACTCACTCACCTTACGACTATTTGTGTTTGGCCCAGCGTAAATCACCAGCTGAATAACAAGAGAGGTTATGAGCATGAATATTCAATGTAACACTTTTATTCCACTGTGAATGAGAACAGCAGAAACGTGAAACCTTGTCATAGTCGTATTGTGAGGAGCAGCGAGGGTCGAAGCGGAGGTAGAGACACCGAGCTCCAGGGATGTGCACTGTTTCTTTAAACTTGAAGTTATCTCGCACCGGATGAACAGTTTCCACTGTTTTCCCAGCAGCCCATGGGGCAGGGATCTTCAGGCCGGTCAGAAAGCCTGGCTCCTCTCTCTCTTCCAAAATCTGGAAACTAAAATAAAAACAACTTCATTTTGTGTTTGAATAATCTAGATGCTTTTGTCCAACATGTTTCTTTTGATATAATTTTTTTTAAAAACTACGAAATTGAAAAAGTTCAGAAAAATTTAAAATAATTTACCTGTCATTTAACGAGGGTGGATTGGGGCTTTGATTTAGCGGCGAATCCTCAACAAATAATGGTGAATGTGTCTTTAACAGCAAAGCAGTCTGTTGGATAGACAGAGACACAAAGCAGTCAACCTTAACAATATCAATGGCTTATAATTAATTATTTTAATTTAAAAATGTAAAAAACACATTCATGGAAAGTCCAAGATTTAGCCAATTTTAATGTACACTGTTTAGGGTCAGTAAGATTTTTACTGATCATTAAATTAAATTGATCAAAAGTAACAGTAAAGATTGAAAATGAAAAAAAAAACATTATCAAGGTTTTCACAAAAATATTTACCAGTACAACTATTTTCAGGACTGATAATAATCAGAAATGTTTCTTGAGCAACAAATCAGCACATTAGAATGATTTCTGAAGATCATGTGACTCTGAAGACTGGAGTAATGATGCTGAAAATTCAGCTTTGCATCACAGAAATAAATTACATTTTACTATATATTCACACAAAAAAAACAGATATTTTAAATTGTAAAATGTTTCACAATTTTACTTTATATTTGATCAAATAAATGCAACCTTGGTGAGAAAAGAGACTTCTTTCAAAAACATGAGGCATCTGTGTACACTGAATAGGGATTGGTGAATATATATTTACTATTATTTTGCTGGCGATATAAAGTTAACCATCACTGTGAATATTCTGATGATTGATTAGCTTTGTATTTGACAATTAAATTTTTTAAACCCTGTTTCTACAATATATATATATATATTTTTTAGGGCTGCCCCCTAACAGTCGACTAACCTTTGGTCGACCAAAATTTTATTAGTCGCAGAAAAAAAAATACCCACTCTGGTCACGCAGATCGTTAACGGCTGGTCTATGTGGTAGTACATCGGGCAGGACATACAAATGCTCGACTATCATTCATCGTCCTCAAATATGGCTTATCATCTGAAATATGTAAGTATTAGCAACTCTTTACATGGCCGCTCAATCAAATGTTAACCTAAAAAATGTGCGCTATTCAGTGTGTGGAAGATGTACAGTAGTGATCACTGCAGGACAAGTCCTCAAATATGGCTTATCATCTGAAATATGTAAGTATTAGCATAACTTTACATGGCCGCTCAATCAAATGTTAACCTAAAAAATGTGCGCTATTCAGTGTGTGGAAGATGTACAGTAGTGATCACTGCAGGACAGATGGAGGCGCCGGTGCGCTCACTTGCTCTTAAAATACTCCCTCATTTTTGCTCATACAGATAAGAGTAATACATCTTTCGAATATGTAAACTCTACGTTTATTTGTGTGCACTCACAATAACAACAAAACATTGTGCTTTTGTAAAATAATGGTACAAGTAAACAGAATGCATTTTCTGCCGTCTCGGACTCTGTGAACTTGAGCGCGAAACTCTGTGTAAGCTTACATTACGGACATGAAAAATATATCTATTGAGACGTAAAATGTCTACTTTCAAATGAACCAATTCAAATCGAAAACAAATATTCTCAGATTACGTAATCGGGATGAAACATGCATACAGGCGCATCACTACTGCGGAGATGACGAGTCGGTCATCTCTTAAACTGAAAACAAAAAAACACACTAGTTTATCAATGAATTATTAAAATGTTAATGCAGCCTCCTTACTGTTTTTCCCCGACACATTCATAATCATTACTTCTGCCGGTGCGCTGTGGCAAGCTTTATGTGTGCGCTTGAGTGCTTATTAGGCTCTGAAGGCAATTAAAGGGTCATTATTATTTTTTTAATTGTTTATTAATAAACGTCGACTAATGCTTCAAATTAATGACTACTAGTAGACCTTTTTTTTTTTATAATATGTACTTTAAAGCCATTTGAAGGCAAAAACGTAAACATTGAGATGCTATGTATATCAAATATTGTCCAAAGGATGAAAAATACTGAGAGAAATGTATTTTTATACACTGTATATCACCTGTCCTTTCCATCCATTATCATAATATTTACAACTCGATTATTGTAGTATATTCTATTATAAGTCACACACACACACCTGACTAGTATAGAGGACCAGCTGGACCAGCTGTGGCATGAGAGCGTCAGCGAGCGTGAGGGTTTGTAGGTTTGGGTGCATCAGTGACGTCAACAGGACCGGCAACAAGTGACCCAACATCGTGGCCTTCGTCACCTGTTCAAGTCCTCTCAGTCTTGACATTAAAAAAACAGAGTGTCGAGAAGATGATAAGAAAAGGAAAGTGCTTCAGTACAAACTAGGCCTGTCAGTTAAAATTTGTAAACTAATTAATTACATGATGTGTCGATTAATTAATCGAATTAACAAATACAAATAAAGCATCACCAAAGAAGTGTTTTGCTGATATCTGAATGCACCTGGCCTCTCGATCGCTGATGCTGCTGTTGATGAGGGAGCTGGTAACTTGCTGAAGCGTCTCCAGAACCTCATCACATCCAACCAGGATCTTAGAGGCTAGTGAGAGGATGCTGGTCTGCAGCTCCTGACGGGAACACATTCATTCAACACACACATTTCTCAGAGAACATCTACAGCTGCTACAGAACTCAAGTACACTCTAGCATACTTAAAAAAAAAACAAAGAGTACTTAGTATAGAAACAATATACTTTAAAATAATACACCTAGGCCTGGTTTCACAGACAGGGCTTAGACTAAGCCAGGATTAGGCCATAGTTCAATTAGGACATTTAAGTAATTTTTATAAATGTGCCTTACAAAAAACATTACTGGTGTCCCTCTTGAGACAAAACAAAGGCACTGATATATTTTAAGATCAATCAGTGCAAGTTTCTTTCAGTTGAAACAGCTCAGACTTACAGTTTAGTCTAGGCTTAAGCCTTGTCTGTGAAACCAGGGGTTAATGTAATGTTTTCACACTTAAATGAAAATTAAGCGCAATAAGATGAAAATGTATTATAGTTTAAATTCATATTAAATGCAATTATCTAAACATTATAGTGCTTGTTGACCCAATTAATTAGGACTTAATTACATCTTATATGTAATTTCATAACTACTTCTATTTTTAAAATATGGCTAAAGTGTACTTAAATATATTTGCAATTAAACATTTGCAATGATGAAGATGCAAATCAGTGCATTTAAAATATATTAACTTAAATGTAATATAGAACAACACACAACAGTTAAAATTATACTCCAGTACTTTTCACGTGATTTGTTAGTCAACACATCAAAATAAGTGTACTTCTTCAATGCATGACAAAAGATTAAAACATAATTATTTAAATCATACTTTTAAGTAAAACTTTTAATTTGATATTATTACAAATTGCACTTTTAACGTGTACTTAAGTGTTTTAAGTCATGAACGGTTCTGTTAAGTGTCCTTTTATTTCATTAATATTATATTATCTGCAAGTATGTTTTCTTAAAATACACTCTTAAGATTTGTAGTACACTACAAGTGCACAAACAGTAATTAAGCTTGGAAGGAAAAGTACAATAGCTCTGTTTTAAATCTTAGTGCGCTGCCCTGTGAATTGGGTTAGCATTATAATGCACAGTTCTCCTCAAAATTTTGACATATTTCCAGCTTAAACACAAAGCCAAAACTAAAAATAAATCCATCAAGACATCAGAGTCAATTTATGATATATTGATAAATATAGTTCAATCTAATGAAAAATACTGAATTTAACCCAATATCTATATATGCAGTATTTATTCTTAAATTGCTGTGTTGTTATCTTAGAAGTATTTAGTGCTATTTTTGTGGCACATGTGAGTGTCCATTATGAGAGACGCTGCCCATATACTGCATCTCAAATCAGTCACTGACAATGTTCTAACATGGTTAGGATGCTGCCTTAGAAGGCAGCTGTCTATGTAGACAACAAGGCAGCTCACTAGGTTTTAGAACACTGCTAATGTGTTGAGAAGAAAACAAAGTGAACATCCTATCCTACTAAAGAAACCTACATTACCAGTGCTTATTACATGACAATTTGCCAAATAATAAAGAAAATAGACATTAAATATATTGAATTACTTCGTGAAAAACTCAACTTTTTGGGGAAACATGCACACACACACACACACAAAAAAAAGCAGATGCTGCAATGCCAAACCTTTACTTAAAGTTGAATATCTGGTACACACTATAGTACAGACCACACTATAATGAACCGATTTAATACCAATGCAATGCATTCCTGTATGTTCCTCCTTTCCTGGATGGAGCCACCAGCAGTCCACACTAACCAATCAGAGAGACCGTAAGGTTTTTAAAGGGGATGTTTACCTGTACCTTCATTGTTTCCCCTTGTAGGGAGCTGTCACTATCATCAATGTCATCCGGGTGGAGCAGGATGGTGTTGCTGAGCAAATGGTTCTGCACAGCCATTAAATAACGCAAGCTTGGTGACGCTGCCTGTCAATGTGGAAGTGCTGTCAGTTAATCAGACACAGCAAACTGTATGCATTCATACAGACAAAAGACAATTTATTTCAAATTATGGATGTATTTTCCCTTGTGAAAAAGAGGTGCACTTAACTGTACTGAATGTGCACTTGTAGTGTACTTCAAATCCTAAAAGCATATTTAAAAAAAAAAAACTGTACTTGTAGATAATATATTAATGACATAAAGGCCACTTAAGTGGCTTAAAGAGAGACTTTCATGGTTGTTCTTAAGTGACCTTGGTAATAATGTCAAAGGCAAAGATTTAAAGTAAATTTTACATCATTGTTTTAATAATCCTTAGTTGTGCATTAAAGAAGTGCACTTATTTTGATGTACTAAATGTATTAACATACTAAAGCACATGTAAAGTACATGAATATAATTTTAACTGTAGTAGGGATGTTCATTTTAACCGGTTAACCGTTAACCGACCGTGAAGAATTTTGACCGATTAATACAATCAGTTAAACGGTTTAAAAAGTCTTTTTTTTTTTTTTTTTTTTTTT